TTCAAGCAACGATCCACATTTAAAGCCAATATTCTTTAAATATCATAATGCAAACCCAAAAATTTGCACTTGTACAATTTCCTCTTAAGAGTGAATATCTTAAACAAATTCTTCAATTGATGGCTGGGCAAGCTGCGTACCAAACTCGAATGGCAAATGTCTGGATGAGTCGCTGGAAATTGAGTGGTGGGAGGATCGTTGAAGCAACGGAAACTTAGTGGAGTCGGGACTAGGAGAAAGAGAAGAGAGAGGCGAAGGCCGTGAAGAAAGGAGGGGAAATGGAGATAGGAAGGAGAGGGAATGGAAGCGAGAAGGAAGGTGAAAGGGATTGTGAATGGTATTGGGTTAGGGTTGAAAATGGTGAAAACTTATTTTGATGTGACATTTTTTCAGTTTTTTGTACAATTTTTCATATTGTCAAATCTCATGATATGTAGGGCATTTAAATTATCGAGAGGGGTAAAAATGTAAAAAGTAACATTTTTGTAAATGCAAAGTCAAAAATTGACAACTAGTGCAATTTCCGCATGAAATAATAAGTAATGACACGAGAACCTCAAAGCCTGACAAGCTAAACAATGTCACGTGTTGACCAGATGTCAATATATAAATATGTGTATGTACATTTAGTGTAAATTCTTTAAAATAATTTTTTCGTGAATCCATTTTTAATTATTATTTTTTCAATAACATAATTTTACACGTAAATCTATACCTTTTTTTGACCTTTTAATAATACATTCTTAATAAAAACAATTTTTTTTACAAGAACTATTCTCAAAAATCTAAATGAAAAAAGCCTCCGTTTTGTTAATAAAAAAATGATGAAATATATCATTTAAAAAATTTTAAAGTGCTCTCCATTATAATCTAATAATATATTTTGAAATAGTAGATTAACGGAGAATGTGTGGTTAAAAAATAAGTAAAAAAATTGAATTTTTATATAATATTATTTATTGAAAAATATGTGATTAAAAAAAGATAAAAAAAATGTATTTTGGATATAGTGGGAATCAATGGTCAAAATTTTTGAATTCCATTAAAATATTTGATTAATTAAATTAATTTTTTTATTAATTTCTTTGATTAAAAATCAAACGGGACTAAGAGCTATAAAAGATCCCACCCAGATAGGAAAACTGATTACATATTTATTTGATTTCTGAAGCACCTAAAGGCATAGACTAACGTAAGACGCCAGAGTATAGGCACAAGTTACCATGCACGCAGAACTCACGTGATCATGTCTTACTAGTCCCCTGTAAAAATTCAATTTTATTAACGCTTATTACAATTACTGGATCGTACGATGCGGTTTCGTTGGGTGACAGTAGCCATTAATTGAAGGTGCAGATTTTGACTTAGACTCTGTATTTTCTGTAACAGCCTTGTACAGTTACATTAAAGTTGACAATTTTTTGACTGAAGTGTCACATATTTTACCATTAATTTTAAGAATACTCGAAACAATTAATAATGCAGATTTTTACACTTCACACGATATCAATATAAACTTTGAATGTACAAATAGCATATTTCTCTCTGTAATATGAAATACAAAAAAGCCACTTGTAAAGTCATTAGTGCGCTGTAAATTTTACAGATCACATTCGTGACTGTGCATGTAACATGTTTCTATTAAATAAACTGTCGTACCTTAATGTCATTTTATTAATTATATTGTGCATATTCTAACGAAACTGGTTCGTATAAGGATATTTGGTTCCTTACATTATGGTTACTCTGTAACTAGCTCCCACCCATCTGAGCCATCTCCAATAATTCTTAAAATTTCAGAGATGTTTGATTGCTTGTCGGAACTAATCAGGAGGGTACAAACTTTTATATATATAAGCTAAAAGTAAATAAAATTATGGCAGAAATGAGCTCAAACATAAGCTACAAGTAAATACAATTATGCACGTTTTAACTTTTGATTATAAAATTGAAATCAGGAAGTAAAGAAAATAAACTAATTTAAAATCTTGCATAATTATGGATAATAATTGGGTGAATTCGGATTCCCGTGCTACGCTTAAGATGGAGCGGGCACCCAAAACCCATTCCCACCCCCAATTGCGTCGGGACAAGGTTTCTAGCGCCGAACCCAACCTATCAACCCGACGAGATTTGGATCAATCGAATTTTTTTGGACATCCTTATCCATAATTCCAAACTTGTTCGCACCAATTAATCGAAGCCCACATTCCATCAACAATCTTAATATCTAGAATAATGTTATTTAACATTATTGATATTAAAATATCAATCTAAATAGTACGAATGTAACGTCAAATTAAATGTATAATTAATTGAATCATTTAATTTAAGTACCAATCTCCAAAATAAATGACAAGGCAAGGATT